GTCCTTAGTTTAGGTGGGTGAATGGAAATGGTGGGTGATGGTGTAAATGGATGGGTGGATGAATGGGTGAAGTGAATGGTAAATAAGCAAGTAAGCTAACTAGAGGTTAATAGCTAGGTGGGAGAGCAAGCAATTATCTTAAGTACCAAAGATAAACTAATGGCTAGAAGGAACTCATTAATATTTCGAGGCATACCTGCCCTAAACTGACCCAAAGGTTGATTAGGCACAACAATATTACCACGAGCCTTAGGATTTAATAACTAGACCTATGCGATTTGGACGCTCAAGGTCAGTACACACATGTTAGAAAACTAACAAATAATCCAACATACTACATTTTCTAGATTAGATCGCTCTATCTAGCAAATCATGTCCTTATGAAGATAATACAAAAGAACTCGCTGAAAAAATAATGTAATGCACCAGCTATGTTCTTAAAAAACCTAAAAAAATAAGTCAAGAATTCCTAGTAGAACAGGTTTACCACGAGCAGCAATGATTCTAAATTCTTCCTGACGTAAATATCAAACCAAAAGTGTGCTGACGTTTCCCAAGAAAAGAAACAGAAACTATGTTGAGTTGAACAAAATATACCTTTGAAAAGACATCTAAGAATTCAATTAATAAGTTTTCTCTCCCATACCATTATGTGGAAGACAAATATACTATGCTTTGATTTCCTGGGAGTATCCTCCAATTTCCTTGCCAGCCAAACATAGCCAGTAGGAACTCACTCTCTACAAGCATAAATAAATAGGCATGTTAGCTAGTTTACACTCAGAAAAGACTATGAATGGTTCAATGTGACTAATTGCAGATAAAGATATTTACCTCAGGCCCTTAGGGATGAGTTGCACCTCCCTGGATATGGTAACTGACTGGTGAGGATTGATCACAAGAACATCAAAGGCAACACCATCTGCCTTTGGGGAGACCTCCTAGACATCACCATTTGGCGCTCTGCTGGAAGCTGCCCCACTTTACATCACCAAGAGGACAGATGCACACCCAACCACCCCATCCAAGCTAGTTGGACCTCACTCGAAACCAGGATACGCAGGCTTGACATGCTTTGATAAGAAATTAAGGGGAATTGTCAGCGCTTGAGCATGATTAAGACCTCTCCTCACATGCTTGTTTTGTGCTGCTCTACACACTACATCAGTGAATTTTTGTTTTGGTCATTAGCCATCACATAGTGTAACAAATGCATTTAATTCCATGCATATTAAATTTGTTAAGTGCATATATGTTGTATGAGTGAAAACAAACCTCTAGACTTTTTAACAACAACCAGAGCTAGAAGGTAGTCCTTTTATTTCACAACACTATGCAGTTTTTAGCAGCTTCCTTAATCCCAGCAGCAACATCTGCTGGTTGCTCCTCCTCCTGCTGGTGCTCACAGCATCGACGCCAGAGGCGAAGCCACATTGGCTTTCCCTGGTGCACGTGCGCCACGGTAAAACAAAAAATTACTAATATGTACCTCAAAATTTTCATGTATTTCCTTTAAAATTGTACATATTCCTTTATATTTGATAGAGGGCGCACCAGGGTTAGTTTTGAGTTGGCTTCGCCCCTGATCGACGCAACGTGGTAACGGGGATTAGAGGGTTGTACCGCTTGGTCTACATCCCAAGGATGAAGTTGATCTGCAGTAGTAGCAGTAGCATGAACCCGACAATGAACGAGTGCAAGGATAGGCCCAACAAGATCATGCCTCCAGTGATCTGCCACTACAGGCAACAAGGTACAACAAAGGGAAAATTACTCAAACCAATGCCCACTGAAGCAAAGCCACAAAACACCTAGACGGCGACAGGAGAGAGGCTCATTCATCTATCGGTTACCTTCCCATTGCAGAGCACAATGTTGATCCCCAAACAACCATGAGTTCCCCATCACAATGTAGCTGTAGAGCAACATGATAAATATGTTGATCCACATCTCAAATCAACTAACCTGACAACAACAATCAATATCAACATGGAGGTTAGCCAATTCAATGCTACCAGAAGGCAAGCCAATTAAGCCATGTTTCGTTAGAAAGCAGCAACAAATCCAACCAAGAGATACACTTCTACGTCAGAACAAAAAAAAAAAAAAAGATCAAAGCTTTCAGCGTTATAGATATTTCACGAGGAGACAGTTCAATCCATGGATCTGAACTGTGAGGGAGGATGTGCCCCTGTTCACTACCAACACTGGGATCTCTCTGCTCCTCTTCGCTCATGGCCACACCTCCTCGCCCACAGCCGTGCCTCCTCACCTGGCGGCCCACCTCCTCGCCGGCAGTTGCTTCTCTTCCTTGCTTAGCTGCTGTGCCTCCTCGCCAGCGGTCACCCCTCTTCCTTACCCCGCGGCTGCGCTTCCTCGCCCGACGACCGCGCCTCCTCGGCACCGCCATGCCGGGGGCCGAAGCCTCACCCGGCGCGGAGGCAGCGCCCGCCAGTGCCTCTTTCGTCGAGGTGGTAGCACCCGTCGGGGCCTCCTTCGTCGCGGTGGTAGTGCCCGTCGTGCAGGGGCAGCTGGCGGCGGCTGCGGCGTGGGAGTGGGTGCGTCGTGCTGGATGGGGCAAAGGCGGGCGTTGGCGGTGACGATCCACGTCGGAGGCGTCAGAGGAGCGGTCCGCACGGGTGGATGCATTGGAGCGAGGGGCTTTGGTGTCTCACCCGGGGATGTACGGGAGCGAGCGGGTTTGGTGTCGTACCTGTGAATGGAATAGTTATGAATATTTTAGTTGTAGAAATTACATTTCAACTCTTGGAAGCTCCACGCAATCTTTAGAAGACGGCCTCCGAACTCCGAAGTATGACTGGAGTAGGTTGCCATTTTCGCCCGGGGAGACATTTCTGACGAAACATTGCTACTGGTATCAAGCGTACTTGTTGGCGACGTGGGCGAGGTGCCTAGCGAGCTCAGCCGGCGTGGAGAGCATGGCCATGTGGTCGGCGTCAGCGATCTCCCTCACCTCCGCCACGGGGCAGCCGGCGATCATCGTGTGCTGGTACGCCTCGGGTATGGCCTGGTCGTGCTTGCAGACCACGTACACCTTCCTCACCGCGCCGTACCTGGACTCGCTGAACGGCGGCTGGCTCTGTAGGTTTGGCAGGTAGAAGGAGCTCACCCGGACCAGGCTCTGGGACAGCGTGTAGTCCTGCCGATATCAATGATAACACAATCGATTACTGGATATTTTCTGATTCAATTCATGAGACGAACCAATCAACAGATCAATTGCAAAATACATGAAGAGATCGAAGTTGATATATACCTCAGGTGGGCTCAGCTGGTAGAGCTTTTGGCGCAGGAATTCAGGCCCCAAAAACACCGAGGGTGGGACGTATTCTTCATCCATCACGCTGTCCATCCGGTCTTGCACGGTAACCTTTGAGAATCGAGAGAGACGCAGGAAGAGCACGGCACCATTCATGTCAGCTATTACAGTATTACGTTATCTCAATCGATCAACGACCAAACAACAACAAACGTACACGTACATTCTCGACGACGTGCGAACGTGGGTTGGTGCAGTCCGGCAGGAATGCGGTGACAAACACGGCGGCAGCCACTTTCTCCGGGAACATCTCCGCAGCGAGCGCGATGTTCATGCCGCCGAAGCTGTGGCCCACCAGGACCGCCCTCTCTCCCGGCAGGAGCGCCCGGAGCGCGTCGAGCAGCGGCCGCGTGTAGTCCTCGAAGGTGGGCACGTCGCGGAGCTGCCGCGAGTCGACGCCAGACGCCGCGAGGTCCAGCGCGTCCACGCGGTGTCCCGCTGCGCGGAGCAGCGTGGCCACTCGGTACCAGCACCACCCGCCGTGGCCCGTGCCGTGCACCAGGATGATGCGCGTCGCTCCCTCGGTAGCCGTCGCAAGCGCGAGCGTCGACATGGTGTTGATGGGCTGCTGGCTTTAAGGTAGAAAAGAGGTATCTTCGCTTAGTTTATATATATGATGATGGCATCGTCACGGCTGATGTGAGGGGCAGCAGGCGATCGATGCCCACGTTTCGTCAAAGTTGAATATTTGATGGTTGACGACCTTAGTTTTTTCCTAGATGTCGTGAAGAGGGCACATGGCAATCAACCTTTGCGGCGGCAAGACTGATCGATAAGCCCGTGCCCCGGCCCGTTCGATGCTAGTCCTACAAGGAACGCAAATAGATCTAATACGCAAGCATATAATGATGTCAGTGCCTGAATTTTTGAAAATTTTGAGACAACAATTTTACACAGTAACTAGTACAATTAAAAATGGACTACTCGCAAAAGGCAATTTACAATTTGTTGTATAGCCTAACAGTGATAAAAATTACATGTCATCTAGACAACGATAAAAAATCAGACACATGATATGTGCGAGAAGTGTATTTTTTCAGATACTAGTATAGATATTAAAGCAATATCTCTAAATATATATATATATATATATATATATATATATGTGTGTGTGTGTATAATACAAACTGGATAGTCTGGATTCAACCTTGAATATCCATTTAATTTTGTTGTCTACAAATATCTATATATGTTACCAATTATTTTAAAAAAACAAACTATTAAATAAGATATCGAAATATAGTAAACTCTACAAGCACATACTCCCTCTGTCTCGATATGTCCGTTATTAACTGAACCTGGACGAATTAACTGAACCTGGACGTAGGTGTGTGCAGATGCATTAAAGGTTGTTTGAATTTAGACAACAACTACTACTCCTAGAAGAGGCTTTTACATGTGTACCATTAAAAATGTTTGTAATTACACATAAGCTATTAAAAAAGTTGACCACAGACAGATGCCACTGCTCTAAACTTATTTGCCTTACAAGCCATTCCGTCCGTGTTCTGTTTGGTTTTCGTCATTTGGTAGCCCTTACAGGTGGGATCCGCCAATGAAATTGTCCATATTGCCCTTATGACTGAGGAGACCGTGTTGACCTGACCAAACCCAACATCATTAGATTCTGATTTGAGCCCCAAAGACAGAGTAGCATTGACTAAGTGTGTCTTCCATAGAATTGAATCATTGACCAGACACGAACCGTACCAGGCCGGATGTAGGTAGCGAGTCCAAAGTCAGCGAGCTTGATCGACGATGAGGGCGACTTGCTGACGAGGAGGATGTTCTCGGGCTTGAGGTCCCGGTGCACGATCCCTTTGCTGTGGCAATGCGCGACGACCTCCATAAGGTATTGGAACAGCACGGCGGCCTCGTGCTCGGAGAAGCATCCGCGCTCCTCGAGGCGGTGGAAGAGCTCCCCACCGACGCAGAGCTCCATGACAAGGTGCAAGGAGTCGCGGTCCTCGTACACAGCCTTGAGGTCGACGACGTTTGGGTGGCCCGCGAGGCGCGCCATGACCTCGATCTCGAGCTTCACGACGCGCACGTCGTCGGAGGACAGGAGGCGGCCCTTGGCGATGGACTTGCAGGCAAGCGCCTCGCCGGTGACGAGGTCAGAGCAGGATCGGATCACGCCGAACTGGCCCAACCCCAGCTGGGGGCCCAGCGCGTACCGGTCCTCGAGGCAGGAGACGTGCGCCGCCTCCAGCAACGCGCCCCGCAGCCCCGGCGCCTTGTACGAGTTGTACTTGGCATCGCCGTCGACGCCGCCGCCACACCCGGCGGCGGCCATCGCGCTGAGGTACCACACGCTGCCGAACCCGGCGAGACCGAGACCTCCGACGCCGCCCGCAGACCACTCGCTCCCCCCCCCACCCACCTCCGCCCCGAATCTCCAAGCCCGCCGCAAGCGAGGCTCCCGAATCTCGCGGCCTCAGCTCAGGTCAGCTGCGCCCTCCCTCCCTCGCTCCCTCCACGAGCATTCCGCGCACGGCTGCCGAATCTGCGGTGAGGAAAAGCAAAACAGCAAGGCCTTCAGCTCTCTAAGCCCCAAAATCGCGGCTTTGCCCCACAAAAAAAAAAAAAAATAGAAAAATTAACACGACTGAGCGCGCAGAGCAGATCGAGCCACGTCTTGCTCGTCGCCGCCACCGGCCGCGGGGTCAGCTCCTCCGAGGGCCGAGGCCGAGCTCACGGCTTCGCGGCACTCAGGCCGCCAGGCGCCAGCGCAGAGAGCGAGGGAGAGGTGGTGGTGACTGATGATGGTCCGCTCCGCTCCACCGGTGGTGTGGCCGCCACCTCAGTCCTAAGGGCAATATGGACAATTTCATTGGCAGGTCCCACCTACAAGGGCTATCAAACGACGAAATCAAACAGAACACGGACAGAATGACTTGTAAGGCAAAAAAGTTTAGAGCAGTGGCATCTGTCTGTGGTTAACTTTTTTAATGACTTATGTATAATTATAAACTTTTTTAATAACACACATGTAAAAGCCTCCTCCTAGAACGACATACATAGGGAGTATCTAGTTAAACTTAATTGGTTGACTTTTCAAAATACGTGATGTGCATCAATTTAAAAACGAAGTATAAGTGAACTCAGAAAGAGATTGCTGCAACGTCGTTGCGGCTGCTGTAGCAGCAACCCCCACTCAGGAGCATTGTAGCGGCTAGAGATATATTAAAGAAACAACTGTCACAGCCAAAGCAAGACAATCACACCAAGCACAACCATAGTTATATCTGTTGTAAAACACGTCGCCAGCTGTTAAAACCTTTTGCCTCTTCATCTCTCATAATCAACACGGTAAATAAAAGTAGAAGAACACATAGACACAAGAATTGAAAGAATATTCTTTATTTCTCTGAGCAATGATGATTACAACCTAGAGCTCCCACGTGTATATAGTCCTGCCAAGATTAAGACTTTAATAAGAGCCTATATAACAAACAGACTAGGATTATGATTCCTCCTTCTTTCCTTATAGGGTAGAGTCCGTATGTCTTACAACACTCCCCTTTGGACAATTACCATGATATGCACATGCCTTATTAAAAACTCCATCAGAAAACCCATTGGAAAAAATAATGGTTCTAGAAAAAAGAGTGCATTGCATTTGCATGTTGAATTGCACATGTTGCCTAATTAAAAAAAACTTGTGTGAGAAACCTTCATGTAGAAACTCACATACAAAAAAAAGAGTACAACACTTAACCTTCTCGGTCATGTATTATTCATGATATTCTATTCTTCATGGATAGATATTTTTCTTCGTGATATATGCATAAACTTCAATGTGTTAGCAAATATGATCTATTTGATCTTTGTAATTTTAGTGGTTTGCCTTCAACTTAGATTGAATCAAATATACTCCCCTCATCGAGCCATATTTTGAACTTCATTGTTCAAATCATACTTTTCATAAATGTACGCTTAATTAATGATATGCAATACCATAAACCTTGTCTTTCAAAAAGTTAGCTCACAATTCTTCTATGAATTATGATATGTGTAAACAAGAGCAATATACTTCATGCATAAATGACCACTTATTAGTTGTGCAAAACAAACAATATTTATCCTTCAGGGTAATAAATCCTTTCAGAGGATTATGGGGTAGATAAGCTACAATATTTAATATATTTTAGATAGTGTATCAAATCTTATACTATAGTTTGAATACTTGTAATTCGTCCTTAGTGGATTGTCAAATTATATGTTCTACAAATCTTAAGGATTTTGACTATACCACTAAACAAATATCCACTCTTGCTTTTGGCATTTAGGGGATAATTCAATTGCCAAAAATCACCATTGTTTTTATACCTTCTATGATATTTAGAGGATATCACCACTTCATTGCTAGCTTTCAATTATACATTTTCTGAGTGTTTGTATGACAACTTTTATGATGTTTACGATTCCTCATTGCTTCCTCTCAAATCTATACTCACTTCACGGATTAATGGTGTTTATTCAAGAATTGACTGGTAAATCCTTCGTGTCAAAAGTGTTTACTCGGGTAATATGGATCAGTGTATCACGCATAGGGAATCCGAAAGGGTAGCACATGGGACACAGATTTATACTAGTTCAGGTATATGGTACCCTGCATCCAGTTCAGACAAGATGTCTTTATCTCGTATGCTCAGTTTACAAGAGGTTGCTGATTGTAACTTTTTGATACCGATCGGGGCTCCTAGCCCCACCTTATCTAGTCCGGGGGTAGGGTTACATGAATACCAATCAGATTACAGATATGTTTCCTAATTGGTTACAAGAAAATCTTAACAGTTATTCTTTTGTATCTCGTAGGAACTGATGTCCAGGCTCCATACGCCAGGTTATTTATGCACCACGTCTGATGATGTACCCTAGTTCAGTTGGGCCTTATCCTTTGTCGTCTTTGGCCCATACCAGTAGTAATGGGATGATATATGGGTGGTGAGGTACCCTGGGTCCATATCACCGATTGTAGCCCTCAAAGGACTTGATGACGAAGCCAGTCAAATGGCTCAATCCTTCAGGTGTCGGTACCGAAGGTCAATATACACCAATGCTCCCGATGGTTTTAATCCTTGGGCATCTACGAAAGGACGCATCCTTCGGTCTTCCGGATATTGCGCATAATTAAGTCCCATTATAGATAAGGATGAATGAGTCATGGAATCCGAAGTTCCTTGTCTTCCCGCCCGTCTGTTACGCCTGTGACTACGTGACTCATGGATCTTGACTGTTGGCATCCTTTTTAGTTTCTTCAAGGGGGTTATTTGAACCTAGGTGTGGGTGTGTCAATGAAATGTGGTCGGCGGTCTATCGAGGGGTATGCCCATGGTAGTAGATGAATCGCTGGAGGTGCGCGTGAGGAAACCGGATGGTGACACAGAACGCAAGAGACAGCGATTACACAGGTTCGGACCGTCGGCTTGACGTAATACCCTATGTCCTATGTCTTTGTGGATTGGATTGCTTGTGTTCAGATGAAAACGACGGGGTCCCTACCCGCCTTATATAGCCTGGGGGTATGGTTACAGATTGGTTGTTTCTATCCTGATCGGTTTACAAAATAGGAAGTTACAGATATCACGGTAATCTAGCATATCCGAGCAGATTTTGTAGATCGCCGAGTATCATCACGCAGTCTTGCGAGGCGCACTGACTTACATCATACTTCACACGGTGTCGTCTTGCACGCTGGGCCTCAACCGGCGGCGTGGCCCCTGCGGGGTCTCGTGGGCTAGGCCTCCCCTAGCGGCTCGGCCCATGTGCAGCCCTATGGGTATCGGGGGTTATACCCCCCACAGCTAGTCCCCGAGCACCTTATATCCACCGAGCAACGCCGTCTTGAGCTTCTCTAAGCAGTCCAGCTAGTCGTTGGTCGTCAAAAATAGGCATCCGTCCAGATTAACTGGCAGCCGAGCTGTTGAAATAGGCGTCCGAGCTGTTGAATACGTTGTCCGAGCTATTGAACATGGCGTCCGAGCTGTAGAAACAGATGTCCAAGTGTTTCAATCCATGAGCCGAGTGCGGGATCGCTTGAAGCTTCAAGGTTTGCCGACAGGATGTAAGGAGCTCAACTAAATTTTTTTTTAAAGTCTCAGTCGGTGAAGTGTACACACTTAAGTGCCTTTGCGATGGCTCTGATGACGTGGTCATCAAGGCATAGCGGAGGCATCAGATGACAGACTTGACTTAGTCAAAACACCGTGGGTAAAAAATAGTACATGCACCGCGAGGTGCACTATACACAATGTAGTCCCCAAGCCTGCTGGAAGATGATGAAGGAATCTTGTAGCAGGGTCAAAGAAAATTATCCAGACTGAGCAATCAGTATATTCATCCGCTAGGTGAAGTGTACACACTTAGCCCCCGAGCCTAGCACTAGGTGAAGCAGTCTCATAGTGCCAGGATCCAAAGAGGCAGTCTACGGGTGCTGAACCTGTCTTAGCTGAGAGAAATAGTACGGTCATCGCAAGATGATGTGTACACAAGTAGTCCCCAAGCCTGCTGGAAGATGGTGAAGGAATCTTGTAGCGGGTCAAAAAATATCTTGACTCCATCGACGCGTAGCATTAGACTCCGTTTCTTCACTCCGCGTTCAACGTAGTTTGACGCGGTGGCCTATAAGGCCCACTCGACGGCCTAACAACGCGCGGAGGTTTCGGGGAAGATTGCAGCGGGGGGCATGGTTTCCCAAAAACCTTGGAAGACGAAGGGTCAGGGGTCGAACCGTTACAAGAGCGCCGCAACCCCGGCGCACATTCCCCACTTTTCCTTCGCGACTTCGTCTTCTTCCTCAAGCCCAGAACGCATCACTCGGTAACTGCTCTGCCATCAAGGTAATTACAAGCTCATAGTCTCCTCCAGGCCACAGATCTATTAGATGGCGCCCAAAAGAAACCATAGCAGCTCGAGTAGGGCATCACGCGAGCTCAATCACACCGAGGAATGGGTGAGCTCCGTGAGCAACGAGGCGGCGCTCAACCAGTTGGTGGTGGATGGTGTGCTGCCTGATAGGGTGATGGCAGGATGGCATCCGGCTCATGGTGAGAGCTTTCCTACCCCCGCGACGATGAATTACTGGTTTTTGAATATTACTTTTATCGCGGATTTGGCGTTCCGATCCATCCATTTCTTCATGGGTTGATAGACTATTATGGGATTAGTCTCTATAATTTGGGCCCAAATTTCATCCTTCATGTCTCTTGTCTTTATCCATTTCTACAAAGCCTATATTGGCATTCTTCACATTTTGATATGTTCCGCCACTTCTTCTGTTTGAAAGCATGA